ATTACTCATATTGATAAGCGCACCCCCTGCATTCACGTAAACTCAGCCGGTTTATGTCTTGAGTGAAGGTAAACAATTGGGAGAATCGGATGTGTATCAATATATTGGGTCTGTGATTCGCTCTTAAAGTGACAGCAGCCGAATGTACCTAATGTCTGTGTCATTAGTGTTAAACTATATCATGATATATATTGTTACTGTAAAAAATTACTCATATTGATAAGCGCACCCCCTTTGCGGCCGATATGCTCCATCGATGCGCACTTTTGCTAAGCCCGCACCGAAGAGAGCTCCGCAAAAGACTTCTACCTGACAGTCAAAGTGGACTGTCTCCACGAGACTATGGACGGGCAGTCTCGGCGGGGTCGAGACTCTGGAAGGGCGGTCTCGGCGGGACGAGACTCTGACGGGCGGTCTCGGCGGGTCGAGACTCTGGAAGGGCGGTCTAGGCGGGACGAGACTCTGACGGGCGGTCTCGGCAGGACGAGACTCTGGTTCGGCAGGCATGACGTGAACAGGCTCAGGCTGGTCAGGCATGACGTGAGGATTCTTTGGGTCTGGCTGTGTTCCTGATCGAGGCCTGACGCTCTCCAGACACCGGAGGACGGTCTCCTTCCAGTTCAGTCTGGTGGTGTCAGGGAGGTCAATGGGATGGTTGAATGTGGCCCCGATCAGGAACAAGGTCCTCAGGCTCTCATCGTCGAGGGCGCTGGTGACGGCAAGGTAGAAAAAGTCCTTGGTAAAGGACAAAAAGTTTTTGCTCTCCTGAGCCATGACGATAAATCTTGCCCTATCATCCATTTTGGGGCGGTCCGTTCTTCTGTCAGGGTGTGGTGCAGGCAGAAGAAGACGAAGAGTCAGAAGTTCCAAAGCAAAAGTTTACTAACGATATAACTCAAATAGGTACAGACAGACAGAAGGTTCACACACGCTAATTACAACGGAGAACAGACAAAAACTGACTGAATAGAAGGGAACTAAATACAAACACAGATGAACATTGATTGACAGAACACAGGTGAAACAGATGATGACACGTGACATGAAGACAGGCAGACAAGTTCAATGAAAACAAACTAAACAGTACACAACTGTGACACTAAGTAGTGTTCACCACAAGTAATAGTCTGCAGTGTAACTTGGTCAGAAATAAGTATGGAAATGTTGGACAGATGACCTTCAACCCAGTCTTTTTGAAAAATTGAAAAATTTGATGGCTGGTGAAATGAAAACCAAAAGTATTTAAGCTTTTGTACACACCAAAATGTTCTTTGCATTCAGAAAAGGTCCAGATAGATTTCAGCTTAATTGATACTTCACTGAATGGCCAATTTCACATGTATTTGTATTTAAATACATTTTTCCACACAGTATTTGGTATTTTATTTTGATAAATTTCTACTGAGGTATTTTGTATTTATTTATTTTTTTATATAAAATACGTGTTCATGTATTTGTGCCCATCTTAGCACATGGTGATGTATGCTAAAATTAAAACAATAGGGGTAGGGTTAGGTATAGGGTTTGGTTTATGGTTAGTTGCATGTAATTATGCAGAATTGTTTTTATTATTACAGTAAGTAAATGTAACGTAATAAGATATAACAATAATAAATGTTATATCTTATATATCTTATCTTAATAAATGTAACACTAAAATAAAGCGTTGCAGTGTTGTGTTATTATTGTCTTATGTGCTCTAAAACTTATCTGCACTGTTTTATGCTTTTTAATCATTTCAGATTCAGATCAAATTCACAACGAGAGAGTGCGTTCTAGGCTACTTCCTCTGTATTACAGTAACTCTGTTTATCAATCTCCCTTTGATGAGTTTGCAGTTGTTACATGTTATACAAAACTGACTTATTGTTACGGTTGGTGTAGGCAGAGGAAGAAGAGGAGATCAGGATTTCCAAAAACAATAGACTTTACTTTAAATAAAGCAAAACAACAAACGGATACAGACAGGCAGACGGGCAGAGGATAACACACCTAACATCAACGTTACATAAACGAGAACCGACAAGAAGTGAGGGAGAACACAGGGTTTACATACACAGAGAACAGATTAGGGAAACAAGGCACAGCTGGGGCAAATGAACTAGACACAGGTGAATAAACTAAACACTAACGAGGAGCGGGAAACTGGAAACAGGACTGAACCAAATACACAAAGAACGGGGGAAACACAGGACATACATGTAACATTAGCTCCCCCTCCTGCAAGGCGCGTCCTCGCGCCGAGTAACATCAATAAGGGTGGGGGGGTGGGCGCCCTGGAGGCTGACGAGGGAGTGGCCTACCCGGAGCAGGAAGCCTCCAGGGCGGAGCAGGACGTGCAGGAGGCCAGGGCGGAGCAGGACGTGCAGGAGGCCAGGGCGGAGCAGGACGTGCAGGAGGCCAGGGCGGAGCAGGACGTGCAGGAGGCCAGGGCGGAGCAGGACGTGCAGGAGGCCAGGGTGGAGACTTTCCCTCGGGTGGCCAGGGTGGAGACTTTCCCTCGGGTGGCCAGGGTGGAGAGGCCACTTCAGGTGGCCAGGGTGGAGAGGCCACTTCAGGTGGCCAGGGTGGAGAGGCCACTTCAGGTGGCCAGGGTGGAGAGGCCACTTCAGGTGGCCAGGGTGGCTTATATCCCCCCCCCAAAATTTTCTTGGGGGGAGTGACGGGTTCAGAGACAGGCTTGGCGGAACTGGACGGGACCAGCGGAGAAGGCACGGGAGGACTGGACGGGACCAGCGGAGAAGGCTCGGGAGGACTGGACGGGACCAGCAGAGAAGGCTCGGGCTCGGCAGGCGCGCGGGGAAGCTCCGGCTCGGCAGGCGCGCGGGGAAGCTCCGGCTCGGCAGGCGCGCAGGGAAGCTCCGGCTCGGCAGGGCTGCAGGGAAGCTCCGGCTCGGCAGGGCTGCAGGGAAGCTCAGGCTCGGCAGGGCTGCAGGGAAGCTCAGGCTCGGCAGGGCTGCAGGGAAGCTCAGGCTCGGCAGGGCTGCAGGGAAGCTCAGGCTCGGCAGGGCTGCAGGGAAGCTCAGGCTCGGCAGGGCTGCAGGGAAGCTCAGGCTCGGCAGGGCTGCAGGGAAGCTCAGGCTCGGCAGGGCTGCAGGGAAGCTCAGGCTCGGCAGGGCTGCAGGGAAGCTCAGGCTCGGCAGGGCTGCAGGGAAGCTCAGGCTCGGCAGGGCTGCAGGGAAGCTCAGGCTCGGCAGGGCTGCAGGGAAGCTCAGGCTCGGCAGGGCTGCAGGGAAGCTCAGGCTCGGCAGGGCTGCAGGGAAGCTCAGGCTCGGCAGGGCTGGACGTGACCAGCTGTGCGGGCTTGGCTGGGCTGGACGGAACCAGCGATGAGGGCTTGGCTGGGCTGGACGGAACCAGCGGTGCGGGCTTGGCTGGGCTGGACGGAACCAGTGGTGCGGGCTTGGCTGGGCTGGATGGAACCGGCTGTGAAGGCTCGGCTGGGCTGGACGGAACCAGCGGAGAAGGCTCGGGAGGACTGGATGCATGGGCCAGAACTGATGTGTGTGTAGCCCACACACACAAAATCGCTGCAGACATCACCATCAATGCAGTCTCCTCTTGAGTGGACTTACGTGTGGTGTGCTTAGTCTCTGGCGGATAGGCGTGCTCCAGTAGTGAAGGCGGCTCAGGCTCTGGCGGGCAGACGACGGGCTCAGGCTCTGGCGGGCAGGCGACGGGCTCAGGCTCTGGCGGGCAGGCGACGGGCTCAGGCTCTGGCGGGCAGGCGACGGGCTCAGGCTCTGGCGGGCAGGCGACGGGCTCAGGCTCTGGCGGGCAGGCGACGGGCTCAGGCTCTGGCGGGCAGGCGACGGGCTCAGGCTCTGGCGGGCAGGCGACGGGCTCAGGCTCTGGCGGGCAGGCGACGGGCTCAGGCTCTGGCGGGCAGGCGACGGGCTCAGGCTCTGGCGGGCAGGCGACGGGCTCAGGCTCTGGCGGGCAGGCGACGGGCTCAGGCTCTGGCGGGCAGGCGACGGGCTCAGGCTCTGGCGGGCAGGCGACGGGCTCAGGCTCTGGCGGGCAGGCGACGGGCTCAGGCTCTGGCGGGCAGGCGACGGGCTCAGGCTCTGGCGGGCAGGCGACGGGCTCAGGCTCTGGCGGGCAGGCGACGGGCTCAGGCTCTGGCGGGCAGGCGACGGGCTCAGGCTCTGGCGGGCAGGCGACGGGCTCACTACTGGACGGGATCGGCGGAGAAGGCTCTGGAACGATGCCCCATTTGGCAGCATGTGCTGACATCAACGGGGGATCGGCCATGCTGGAAACCAGTCCCGATTTCCCATAGACCGATCTGGGGGCTGGACTGATAGTGGGCGTGACGTAGAGAAACTCTGGAAGGGTGCTGGCGAGATCCTCTTCTCCAGAGCATACTGTGAATGTAGAATTACAGCACACCAGCACCCATTCCACAAAGGCGGCAAAATCATCCCGTGGACCTTCTCCGGATAACTGCGCTCTGCACGAGCCGTTTAGACTCACCAGATAGAATGTGCAGAGGCAGTAGTCCGGGTAGTGAGTCAAATACGCCGTCTCAAGAAAGGTCTGGGTGTGGTCCTCCAAAGTTTGATCCCCCTGTTCGAGACATAGGAGGCGAACAGCGGGGATAGTCATCTTACGGTCGGTTCTTCTGTTACGGTTGGTGTAGGCAGAGGAAGACGAGGAGATCAGGATTTCCAAAAACAATAGACTTTACTTTAAATAAAGCAAAACAACAAACGGATACAGACAGGCAGACGGGCAGAGGATAACACACCTAACATCAACGTTACATAAACGAGAACCGACAAGGAGTGAGGGAGAACACAGGGTTTACATACACAGAGAACAGATTAGGGAAACAAGGCACAGCTGGGGCAAATGAACTAGACACAGGTGAATAAACTAAACACTAACGAGGAGCGGGAAACTGGAAACAGGACTGAACCAAATACACAAAGAACGGGGGAAACACAGGACATACATGTAACACTTATAGTGCTTTTATGTGTTTGTTAGTGTCACGATTCCTGTCTTGTGTGGACTTTAGTTATTTCCTGTTCTGTGCCATGTTTTGTAGTCCTTTGTAGTTTTTCTTGTTTATGAGTCTCTCCAGGTGTTTCTAATTAGCCCCGCCCCCTTGTTATCTTGTTTAGCTTGTTTGTCTGTGTATTTAAACCTCTGTGCTTCAGTTGTTGGTTGTCGGTCAGTGTTGCTTGTAGCTGTCTCCATGTTCCTGTCTTGAGTTTCGTGTTCCTTTGTTTGCCCTGGATGACCTGTTTAATTTATTAAAATAGTGCTTGCATTTGGATTCTCTCTCCGCTTCATTCCTGCCTCATCGTTACAGTTAGGCTGTATTGTTTTCTCAAAGGATGCTGTGTTAGAAGAGGTCAAAGAGGAACAGAGAGTTTAGATGGCCCTTATACAGAATAGTGCCTTTTAAATTTTTTCAGTGTTTTCTTGCTGTGGTTTCTTTTCTCACTGTCGTAGCTTCCTCAAGCAACCTCAAGGCGGCAATGACTGATTGGCTCTGGTCTGGATGCAGTTGCCATGGCAGCTGATAGCATTATACCAACACAGAACTACTGCCAGTTTAAATAGTTAAAATATGTATTGTATGATTATTAAAAGTGAAGGTCATATTAAAAATTATGAACATATTTAGAAGTATTCAAACTGCCCGTCACTAAGATCCGGTTCAAACATGATATCAACAAACTCTGGGTATGAAAGGAATAAAAAGTGTGTTCTAACACACTTTAAAACTTGATAAATAAGTGCAATAAAACTCACTTATAGCAATTGTTAGACTGTTATAAAATGTGTACTCAGACACAATATATTGGTATTATGATCAGGCACACTGGCCACAACATAAAGTGACCGCAAAGTCAGTTGGACTCGTTTATCTAAGGGGTTTATTAAACAATTGAGTAAATTACAAACAAAACCCTTTTAAAGGGTGTCTCTCCGCCAACTCGTTACCTGATCACACCTGCAGACAATAACAAATGAAAACATACTGCCGAGCAGCCAAACATTAGTAGAGGAAACAGAGCCACCACAGGTAGTGGAGGGACATAACACACCCCCACACCAAAATGGTGACTCCAGTTTCCATAATCATAATATAAATAACAAGACACATATCATGCCATACACAAACACCCCACCAATAGAGATGCGTGTGACAATTTCAAAACTCAAAAAAAAAATTTAACAATACTGTAATTTAAATTACAAAACACACAAACAAAATTTTGAGTTATGACAATAGAGTTAACTGTAAACAGAAATACTGGACTAAGGTACTCTAGATAAGGCGTCTACTAAGAAGTTATCAGTACCACGGATATGCTTAACCTCGATGTTAAAAGATTGTAAGATCAAACTCCACCGCATCAGATGCTGATTAGCGTTTCTCATGCGGCTTAGGAACTTTAGAGGGTCATGATCACTATAAACGGTCATTCTATCTGAAGCACCCAGATATACTTTAAAGTGTTGGACAGCAAGAACAAGGGCCAGCGTCTCCTTTTCGATGGTGGAGTACCGCCGTTGATGTTGATTAAACTTCTTGGAGAAGTAGCAAATGGGGTGATGGACATTCTCAAGCCCATCTTGGAGGAGGACAGCGCCAGCACCTTGATCCCTCGCGTCAACCATAAAAAAAAAAGGTGTAGCAAAGTCAGGTGCAGCCAACACAGGAGCTGAAATAAGTAATGCCTTCGCGTTCTCAAAAGCGCTCTGACACTGGTCAGACCACTGATATACAGTGGGTACGGAAAGTATTCCGTACCCCCTTAAATTTTTCACTCTTTGTTATATTGCAGCCATTTGCTAAAATCATTTAAGTTCATATTTTTTCTCATTATTGTACACACAGCACCCCATATTGACAGAAAAACACAGAATTTTTGACATTTTTGCACATTTATTAAAAAAGAACAACTGAAATATCACATGGTCCTAAGTATTCAGACTCTGGAGCTACTACAGATGAAACATTTCTGCAAAAGCCACGGTAGTAGCCCACCATACCAAGAAATCTGCGTAACTCACGACGATCAGTAGGGGGAGGAAAACTACAGATAGCAGACACTTTGGCATCCAAAGGACGCACCTGGCCACCTCCTACTACTCTACCCAAGTAAGTGACTGTTGCTTTGCCAATCTCGCATTTAGCCAAATTGATGGTCAAATTGGCTGCGGACAGTCGACAAAATAGCTCTCGGATCTGCTGAACATGTTCTGGCCATGACGCACTATAAAGGACCACATCGTCCAAATAGGCCTCACAGCCAGACATGCCAGACGACAACACTGTATTTATCAATTGCTGGAACGTTGCGGGAGCATTACGCATTACAGAAACTAACTACATCCCGCTTCAACCTTGGCCAGTAGAAGGGTTGACTAACACGGTTTAGTGTTTTGGCGACCCTCATATGACCAGCTACACAGTCATGAGCGACACTCAATTTTATCTCTGTATTCAACAGGCATCACAATCTGATGAACAGAGTTTTCATGGTCTGGAACATTGAAAGGCCTCCATTTCCTCATTAGAACACCGTCCTGAAAGAAAAAACATTGTGGTTCTTCATCAATGTTAAAATCAGATGAGGCAGAGCGGAATAGAGAGACTAATGACACATCTGCTTTTTGAGCAGCAATCAATTTTGTGCGGGATAATCATGCAGACTCAGACATAATTTTATTAATTTTCTTATCAGGCCCAGATAGATCAATGACGGATAATCTCTCTATTGACTCTGAAGATTTTTCAGACTCAAGATTCACAAAGAAAGAATCAGACAGTTCATATTCAACAGGAGAAAAGGAGCGCCCTTCTTTGCTCGACATAGCGCGAGTAATCGCGCATGCAGGAGAAACATCTGGATTTTTCTCTACACACTCATGGACGGCTGTCTTGCCAAGCACAGTAGCAACTTGAGAGAGAACTTCCGAACTCAATCAGTTCCACACATTACCACCTGCTAAATCATTGCCCAAAATAAAGGACACACCAGGAATGGGCAGAGATTCACGAACACCAACCGCAATGCGGACGGTGACTACACAAGATTTTAAAATGATTTGGTGAAGTGGAACAATAGTAAAGCCCATCTCAAACTAATAAACCAAGCCACGAACTAATACACTGGTGCCATTTTCTTTTATTTACGACAAAGGCAAAATCCCTTTCAAAATGAATCATTGTGCAGCACCGGTATCACGCAAAATGCGTACGGGAATGAGATTATCATCACCAAACAATGACACAAAACCATCACTAAGGAAAGGTTCATAGCCGAGTCATGTCTTCACATCACTTGAAAATTCAGGACAGGGCGAAACAAAATGTGGGGACGCTTTAATCAACCCAAAGCCTTTCGCAGCTTGTTTTTTTCTCAGCACTGGACAGTCTGCCACCAAGTGCCCAGGCTTCTTACAATAGAAACAAGCCTGCTCTGGACTACTGGAAGAATGCACCGCAGCATAACTGGGCTTAGGAGATGAACCTACAGGCTTATATCTGTCTTTGAAGATACGGTGGTGTGGCAAATAAGAGAATCTGTCCCACAACATTGTTTACTTTCACTTTAATTTTAACGTGATTTTGGGTGGAGCGTGTCAATTAACAACGGAAGGAAGTTGTATTTAAAGGGAGTGTGTAGTACCTGAATCTGGAGCGTCATCCGTTTGTTTGCACATGAGGTTTGCCAGTATGAGTGATGGTTTGGTGGAAAGACGGCGTGCGTGTCAATCAGCTGTTTCATGTGAAACGTAATATGTCTGGTGCGTGACTGAAGCAGTGCGCTTCCAGACCGACCGTCGTGAGCTGTTCTGAAGGCAACGCGGAAAACTGCTTGTCCACCTATCTTGGTGTCTGATGACCCGCGATACTCATTGGTGCCTTCAATATCTGCAAACTTGGTCAGTACCTCTGTGCCGCCATTACACGCACTTCTATCCATGCACGCACCCACTCGCATAGCTTTCATATTCACACATTCTGTGTGCTTATTTAAAATTATTGTGCTGTTGATTTAATGTTGGTAATTTACTACGAATTTAATGAGATGTTTATCCAATGTTTTATTTTTTTTTTCTCTTTTTTCTTTATGGACATTTCGTTTTTTGAATGAATGTGGACACGAATCTGCAAACGTGGATAGCGTGACGCGGTCGGTTCCCGGCACGGATCTCGACGACCAGAGGCCGCTAGTGTGAATTTCACTTCTTATTGTTTTTTTTTTTTTCTTCTTCTTCTTTTTGGGTCCATTTCGTTTTTTGTGTGATTTATGATTATGAACATGTGTGGAAAAATAAATATCCCTTGCAAACTGACCTTTTTTCTGGGATTATTATTATAATTTGTTGTGTAACAGGTGGTTACCTTTTCTGCTATCCTGGGTTAAGTTAATTGTTTGACAGGTTTAATCCTGTCTGGCGCCCGAACTTTTCTTTAAAGTCATTTATTTGTATTAGGGCGGCTACCACCGTTACAGTGGGTCAAAACTAATTCATCTGCCAGGACAGCAGCTTCATGCAGATAATTGACTTTATGTTCATTAAGGTAAGTAGCTACAACATCGGCAAGCAGTTTTTAAATTCCTCCACAAGAATCAAAGCTCGCAACTTTGCCTGGCTGTCTACCTCACTTGACGAACACCATCGATCAAACAAAGCCTCTTTGTCATGAGCAAACTCGATATAAGTCTGATGTTCGGTTTTCTCACATCGGCGAAAGTGCTGTCGGTAAGCTTCTGGGACTAGTTGGTAACAACTAAGAATAGCTGCCTTAACCACACCGTAGTCTTTAATTTGCTCAAGTGAAAGTGAAGAATACACTTCTTGTGCCCTACCAGTTAAAACTGACTGAATTAACAAAGTCCATACTTCTTTTGGCCAATTTAAAGTTGACGCAACTTTCTCAAAATGCGGAAAATATTTTTCCACGTCTTTATATAATAATAATAAAACCTTTATTTAACCAGGTGAGCACATTGAGAACACTTTCTCATTTACAATGGCGACCTGGCCAAAAAAGCGTCGAGGTACAAAAACATAAGTTACACATATAATTACAAGACAAAGTAGTACTCAATAAACATAGAAGATTAATATACAGATCCGTAGATCATGTACACAGATCGGGTTAGCATGTACAATGGTCCGACAATAAATTTGCTAACAATAATTTAAAAGTGATTAACGGGACAATGGATTCAAGCTTCAAAGATTTTTTAGGTATATTCCAGTCATTAGCAGCAGAGAACTGGAAGGAGAGGCGTCCAAAAGAAG